ACACGCACACACACACACACACACACACACACACACACACACACACACACACACACACACACACACACACCAATTTTAATCCAAGGCTAAATGTCAACAACAGTTAACAACTGTGGGAAATAAAAAAGGATTTTTGGAAATAAATGAAGTCTGGAAACCAATTAAAGGATGCTAAGGACAAAAACAACTTGATCTCCGCTCCTGACTTTTCAAAGACATACTCTGAGTCCGAATCCTGCAACAAGCTGCCTTATGAGAAAGCAGGGAGTCATCAATGCATGTCCAAAACCAATGTAACATTTTCTCTACTAAGATGCTTTTATCTTTTTGGAGGCAGCATAGATAGCTCTCTCTTTGGTTGTCATATTCTTAATTAAGGAAATTGTTTTGCAATACAATTTTTCTGAAAAGTTATCTTTAAATCTGCAAATGAGGCAATGTCTAATTAAATATGCACTAATTTGCATATAATTCCAGAACTGAAATATGAACATTGGATAAAGCAAAGTTCAAAATTCATTTTGTTGACATATCAGAATGAAAGGTTTTTGCAAGACATCTCCTTTTATCACTCCATAAATCAGAAAACACTATCAACAATTAGAAATAAAATCACCATAATTAACATTTACAGCATTATTAAATTGGCTAACACTATTGGATAAGTACTGAACTGAGCTGATGATGACTTCGTTGTTTTCTATAGTGCCGCTTTACATTTACAGTTTTTGATCTTTACACAGTTATTGAACGGAACTGAATCAACACTGAACTGGCTTCAGCTGAACAATGACACTACTGTTTTTCTTCTTTTAGACCTACTTTACAGCAGAATTGATCTCTGTTTGCATCTTTGAATCATTTTTTCCCATTTATCCCAGTAAAGCTGCTTTGAAACAATCTGATATATAAAGCGCTATGTAAATAATGGTGACTTGAGTTGATTTAATATTTATCAGGCAAATTATATAATAACAAACCCCTCTTCAGAAACCCTCAGAATATAGATAAAAACTGTAAGGTTTGGTGTATATATTTTGTTTTGGGAAAACAGCCTTTAAATGTGTATTGTAATTGAAGTCTACACATGCAAATTGATATAAATGTAAATGTATATTTTGGATGTTTTCTTTTCACTTCTCTGACAGAAGATGCAAAATACAGCAAAATCTCAAAACTGATCAGTGCCTGACAAAACAATGGTTTTGCCTGTAGTGTGTGGTACAAACAAAAAAAATCCCTTAACCTTTCTGGGTTGTAGCCCTCCAGCTCTTCCAGAAAGGTATTGGTGTTGGAGTACGGGTTCTCTGGGCTGGGTGTGATGAGGAACTTGAGAACGGTTCCCCTGGTGGATCCGAGGAACACCACAGTCCGATTGCGATGTGGGCCTGCCTCAGTGTCCACCACCATAGTGTTCAACTGGTACCTTAAAAGTGAGGGAAATCAAACAATATGCACACCATTACAGAAGCATATTGCTTTTATAAAACAGTTGCAACATCAATATGATGAAAGACAATAAAAGAGAACTTTTCAGCCAAGAATCTATTTCATCACGCTACATGTTTACAGTAGCCAAATAAAATGGGGTTTTAAAATCAACACGAAACTGCATTTGCAAGCCATTTTGCAACCATAATGTGATATATTTCCAAGAGAAACAGAATATTGAATAAGAAAAAACAATGTAACACTGTATTCTTTTCCCCACCCACATGGCCTATTTACAATTCTGATGAATAAAACAATCCTTTCAGAAGTTATTACAATTTGAATAAATTTGCAAAGAGATATTTTCTTTAGAATAGCACTCACTGATGAATTGTGCACTGAAACATTAAGAAAGTAAATAGGGTTCATTTTGATCCGCTGAATTCAGCTGATGGTCACATTTTGTCATTTAATAGTTTCAAACATAAATCAGATTTTAGTGCTGCCGCTATCTGTTTTAAACCATTCTTGGTGTATTATTCTTAATACAGCTTATGAAATAATTAAAAAGGGATGTAAGAGATAAGATTTGTAAATACTCTCTCTGTCAAGACTTAAGAAGATTAGGTGTAAAAAGGCTTATTTGGATTAAAGTCAGCAAACACAGAGGAGTTTCACCAGCGTCTCTGACGGCTCACACTAGTTTTTATTTTCTGTGTACTTTTACTTTATTGTAATCGTAAAAAAAACCCTGAGCTGACTATTTTTCAAGTCAGTGAAATCTGTTTATTCTGTTTATACTGAACGTTTATTCAAGATTAACATTCAGGCAAAATGGTCTGCTATTGAATATGAATCAAATGTACACCAGAGTACCACTCTCCTTTGTGTCAATTTACCTCTAGTTATCTTGAAGCAACCCAGTGGCCATTTCAATCAAATGTTTAAAAGCGAGATGATTTATAGCTACATTTTCCTCCTTGCAGAGAAGCTTTGCTTCGAGCCTGAAGGCCTCAGGCAATTTACTCTCTGCAGAAGCACTTCTGGAGTTCAGATTTATATTTTAACTAAGGGTTTTTTTCCCCACTAACCTTGAGAGACACTATAGGAACGCTCTTAATAGGAATGCTCCCAGAATGATGTCCTTTGAGTGTAGGTGCTGCTAACACTAACCACACTACAGCAGAGCTCGGACTTTGATTCCTGATATCTCAGCCAATTTCAGTTTAAGCAGCACGGCTTTTAGCAGACCTTGAGAATGACGTTTCACCTTTTCAACTCTCTGCAGCACACTTCATATAACAAGCATCTTGGGGTTTATTGATATTTTCCCACAACGCCTGTGCTGAGTAGTGTACTCATCTTACCGGACCATAGTCTTGACTATCCATGGTCTGTGTCCAAGCAAAGGAACCGCTTCATCCATCAGAGGATGAGTTTTGATGAAATTCAGCACTTCGTCGGGAAGGGTGTTGGAGGAGCTGAATCTCGAACCCTGGACAGCACATCCTCCAGGCCTAGGAAAGTAAAAGAAAGTAAAAGAACCACATTCATGATATAAATATCCAGAGATGGATAGATGGATGGATGGATGAATAGAACGAAAGGTCCGTAGATAGATAGATAGATAGATAGATAGATACACAGACAGACGGATGGATAAATAGAATGACATAGAATGACAAATGGATGGATGGAATGATAGAACAAAAGATAAGAGGAATGGATGGATGAATGGATGAATGATCAATAGATATATGGATGGATGGATGATCAATAGATATATGGATGGATGGATGAATAGAACGATAGATAGAATGATGGATGGATAGATGGATGGAATTACCGATTGACAGACTGATAGATGGAAGAATAGAATGAAAGATATAAAGATGGATATATGGATGGATGGAATGATAGATGGATGGATGAATAGAACGATAGATCGATAGATAGATAAATGGATGGATAGAGAGATAGATTGATAGATAGATGGATGGATGAATAGAATGACAGATAGAATGACGGACGGATGAATGGAACAATAAGTCAATAGATAGATGAGTGGATGGATGAATAGACCGATGGATGAATGAATGGATGGATGAATAGAATGATAGATAGAATGATGGATGGATGGATGGAATGACCGAATGACAGATTGATAGATGGATGAATAGAATGAAAGATAGAACAATGGATGAATGGATGTATGGAACGATAGATGGATGAATAGAACGTTAGATCGATAGATATATAAATGGATGGATAGACAGAGAGATTGATAGATAGATGGATGAAGGGATGAATAGAATGACAGATAGAATCACGGATGGATGAATGGAATGATAAGTCAATAGATAGATGAGTGGATGGATGAATAGACCGATGGATGGTTGGATGAATAGAAAAATTGATCGATGAATGGATAGATGAATAGAATGATGGATGGATGGATGAACAGAATGATGGATGTATGGATGGATGATGGATGAATTGAACAATAAATCAATGAATGGATGGATGAATAGAGCACTGTATGGATGGATGGATGAATAGAACATTAGATCGATAGATTGATAAATGGATGGATAGACAGAGAGATTGATAGATAGATGGATGAAGGATTGAATAGAATGACAGATAGAATCACGGATGGATGAATGGAACGATAAGTCAATAGATAGATGAGTGGATGGAAGAATAGACCGATGGATGGATGGATGGATGAATAGAAAAATAAATCGATGAATGGATGGATGAATAGAACGATGGATGTATGGATGGATGATGGATGAATTGAACAATAAATCAATGAATGGATGGATGAATAGAACACTGTATGGATGGATGGATGAATAGACCGATGGATCGATATAGATAAATGGATGGATGAATAGAATGGCAGATTCTATGACAGAACAATGGATAGATGAATAGAATGATAGATAGAATGATGGATAGAATGATAGATAGATGGATGGATGGATAGATGGATAGAATGATAGATGGATAGATAGATACCTGGGTTTAGGTACTAGTTCATCAGGTACAGGTGTCCATATGGATTCTGGTGATTTCTGCTCTTTGAATCTGCCCTCAAACACACGTGCCAGCTGCTGCATGTCAAACGCACACACCGCCGAGCCGGGGATGCTGGGTAGACACAGAGCAGCAAGAGGGTCAAGACACATCACTGATCCAATCCACACCTCAAACACACACACACACTCACAGTCTGACACATTTTCACAAGCACACACACACTGTTACCCGAAGCCAAAGTGACATGTCACAACAAGACCATTCGTTTTTCTGGAGCTGACAGACTAATCGACCAATCTGCCTCTGCTGCATCTCATTAGAGAGCGTCTCCACAGCCACTCACATCAGACTGATAAAAACTCAACTCAACGAGCTCACCACATTTACATACGGCTATTATATAGCACATAAGCATTATACATATAACAATACAACACATATATGGACTGCTTTTTCACCTTTTCGTGATGCTTTTGGTCACTATATGCTTTCAATGTATGAAAAAATATGAAAAACATCTTCTGAGTTTCATGAAAGAAAGAAAAACCTCTTTGAAAAGATATGAGGATGAATAGATGATGACAGTTTTATTTTTGGGGTGAATTCTTCCTTTTAAAAGCAAAATATTATAGCTTGATGCACATGAAACAAAAAGGAAATCATAGATCAGTCAGACACAGAAGGAAGCTGTAAAATGAACTGCCAGGATGGGCAAGTGTACAGCCCGATGGTGTATGTGTGTGTGTGTGTGTTTTCTGGTCTGCAGGTGTTCACCATGTGTTCCAGAGCAGCTTGTCTCTCTCTCTCCTCCACTTCCAAGCAGTGGGAGGTCAGATGGACTGTTGAGGAAACTTGGATCCTCTTATCTGTCCAGATTTCAGCTTTTAGCAACAACAAGACAACAAATCTTATCCAAGGCTTGTTGTGAACTGAAGCCTTATGCAAAATATGAAAGGATCAATTCTGGTGTGCTTTGATGCATACACACGAAAATGAATACTTATAAACTACTGTTCAAATGTTTGGGGTGAATAAGAAATTAATTTTTATTCAGCAAGGATAAATTAAATGGATCAAAAGTGACAGTAAAGACATTTATAATTTTACAAATAAAATAAATTTTTATTTATTAGATAATCGTGAAAAAGTATCCGTTTCCACAAAAATATGAAACAGCACAATTGCTTTCAATATTGATAATAACAACCAAATCAGCATATTAGAATGATTTCTGAAGGATAATGTGACACTGAAGACAGGAATAATGAAGCTCCATTCAGCTTTGCATCACAGAAGTAAATTACATTTTATAATATATATTAAAATATAAAAGTTATTTTAAATTGTAATATTATTTCACAATATTACTGTGTTTACAGTATTTTTGATTAAATAAATGCACCCTTGGTGAGCATAAGAGCCTTCTCTTAAAAACTACAATAAAAAAATCTCACCAACCCCAAACTTTTTGAACGGTAGTCCAAATAAAACTATTTTCAATGGTATTTTAAGTAAAATTATCTAAACATAATCTAGTAAAACTATATAAAAATTAGTAAAATCATATACATTTTAATTTCTTAATATATTAGATGAAGTTTTATACATTTTAAAAGATGATAATCATTATTCGTTTTCTTTTAACACAATTAAGTTTATTATTATTACAAAATAATAATAATTCCCCTTCTCCTTTTCTTGGAAATATTGTTTAGATTAAACGTATAAATGAATAAATGATAAACGTAAACGCACTTGTTCTCAATTTCAATTTCCATCCTATTATTATTTTGCTAAATCCCTTTCATTTTGTAAAAAATCCATGACATTTACCTCCAGGACATGTTATAATTTTTGTTGGGACAACAAACGTGTAAATATTAACACTGGGTTTGATTCTTGTGATGTTGTGTGAATTGTAAAACAGGAGCAGGCTGTTGGTCTGTGTCTGCGGTCACACATGGCCCCATCAGCTGCTCTCAGAACATGTGTGTTTGGAGCGCGGTGACAGATTTGGCGAGTTCTGGGTGGCGTCCCGCTGAAGCTGGAGAGAGAGGGCATGTCGGCACCCCTCACCTGCATCTGAGCCAACACTGGACAACATTTGGCCAATGCTGAGCCAAAGATGAACCAAACCTCATGGTCCTTTATCTGAAATGACTGCTGTGGCAAATCCAAGCCCTCGCACCTCCAACAAAACTCAAAAAGAGCCTCAAACAAAACAAACTTCATAGACTCAATCCAACAAACTTTGGTGAATCCACTGAATATTTCAACATCAAAAAAAAAAAAAAAAATGCTGGTAGGCTGGTTTTAGCTGATCTTTCCGTCTGGTCATAGCTGGTTTAGCAGGCTTGTTTTAGAGGGGTTTTGAACACTTCTTTAGTTGGTCAGGCTGGGAGACCAGCTGACCAACCAGGCAAAACCAGATGAACACCAGCTCGACCAGCTTAAACCAGCCAATCAGCATATGCTGGTTTTAGCTGTTTTTTCAGCAGGGAGGTTACTTTTAAACAAAATTTTGTTTTCTGGTGGTCTAAAATAAATATATTTCTTTCAACAGTGACTAAAAAGCATCAATAAAAGGTTAATTAAAAAAGTTAAATTAAAAAATTTATAATTTTACTCAATATTTTTGCATGCCATTTCATCTGTATTAGAGTACAGTGTTATTTTAGTATTTTATATACTATTAAACGCATGCATTACTTTGAAGTAGGCTTTATTTGCATATTATTTTAATTTTTCTTAGTTTTTTATATTTCTATATAGCTTTCATTTATTTTTATTTCCGTTTCAGTTTTAGTAATTTTACTTCAACTTATCTCCGTTTCTAATTTAAGCTCTTTTAAGTTTAAGTTTTTCATATAATATTTATATTTTATCTTACTTTAATTACCAAAAATATGACTTTATTTCTTCTGCGGCACATAAAAGAAGATATTTTGAAGAATGTTTGTAACCAAACAGTTTTGTTTCTCATTAACTTCCGTTATATGAAAAAAACAACAACAACAACAACAACAACAACAAAAAAACAATGTCAAAATCAAAGAGAAACGAAGCAGTTTGTTAACCAACATTTTTCAAAATATATATTCCTTTGTGTTCCACAGTAAAAAGAAAGTCACAGAGGTTTGGAACGACATTATGGTGAATAGATGAAGACAGAATTTTAATTGTTGGGTGAACCATGCAACAAGAAAGCTCACTTATATATAAATTAGTATATATAAATAGATGATACAAATTAACAAGTTATATTTTTTTATCAGACACTGAAAAGAAAATGTTACTCAACCCAATGGAATCATTTAGGGGAAATAATTTGGATGCAAGCTTGAATTTGAGACAATAGCTACATTATCCTGATGACAATGATGTGCAAATGAGTCCTTCCACCTTCCACACGGTGACTAAATAAAACTGAAGCAGATAAGACAGCTCCAGAGCAATCATCGCATTCGGATATGACGAGGTCTGCTCATTCAATTCTAATCATTCCATTTCTGCTCAATTCCGCTCTAATATCCCCCACTAATAGATACACGGAAAATACGAGCTCTGATCTGTTAAATATGGGCTATTGGTAATTGAAGGGCTTTGGGAACGAAGGGTCTCATTTGGAAAATTTGGAAAATGCGTGCAGATTGATGGACAGAGATGACGCAGTGGGCTTGGTGTTAATGGACTGATTTGGAGACAGGCCTGAGCCCGCCGCCTGCCGTGCTTATGGAGGACATCTGTGCCAAAGATTACACCAAATTAACAGAGATGTCACTGGATGGCACCTTCCTCTTCGTCTCTTTACTGCGCTTCCATGAGAAGCACAACCTTATAATTACCTCAACTATTTAAAAAGAATAAATGGAAAAACAATAATGTTCTACAAGACGGACACCTCTCTCATTTTACCTCAGCAGGTCACTAACAATGAAGGTGATTAAAAGAATAACGCAATGTTCCGACACACTGTGGCTTCATTAGTAGTGTTTGCTGGTTATTGCTCATAATTAGAAGGATAGTTCAACCAAAAATGAAAACTCTGTCTTCATTTACTCTCCCTCATGTTGTTTTGAACCTGCATGACTTACTTTCTTCTGCAGAATACAAATGAAGATATTTTGATGAATGTTATTTTAAAAACATTACTGGATCCCATTGACTGGAATTCTATGGGGAAAACTTTTTTTTAATATTACCTTTTGTGTTTTCCACAAATAAAGAAAGTAAACATGTTTGTACACTACCTTTCAAAAGTTGTGCTGTCTTTAATTTTTTTAATTAAAAAATTTAAGAATACACAATTTTACATATTTTTGCATGCTATTTCATCTGTATTAGAGTACAGTGTTATTTTAGTATTTTTACATACTATTATAGTATTTACTACTTTTTTGAATTTGCTTTTATTTTCATATTTCCAGTTTTCCTTATAATTTTAGTTTTAGCAATTTTATTTAGTGAAGTTAATTTTTATTTTATTTTTTTAATTGAGTATTGTATTGTATAATTACCAAAAATGATTTTAAAATAAAATAAAATAAACATGATGCAGCAAAACTGTTTCCAACATTGCTAATAATCAGAAATATTTATTAAGCAGCAAATCAGCATATTAGAATGATTTCTGAAAGATCATATGACACTGAAGACTGGAGTAATGATGAATTTGCATCACAGGAATAACTTACATTTTAAAATACATTCAAACAGAAAATGTTTCTTTTAAATTGTAATAATATTTCACAATATTACTTTATTTTATTGTAATTTGATCAAATAAATGCAGCCTTGTGAGCATAAGAGAAAAAAAAACCTTATGAAACTCCAAACTTTTCCTTCACAAAAGAGTTTTGTATGTGCGTTGCCATTGCAAAAACTGAGACGGGCAGACGGGGTCCGAATAGGAGCCATTTGGAGAACACCTCTTAAGCCAATAAGCTGTCAGAAGTTTGTGGCCTCCAACTCTAATCGAGCTCTACTTCCACCCTGTTCTCTCTGGCTCTCGGCCCTGGTCACCTATCGTCCACTACTTTAAAGGCTTTCTGGCGCCGTGCCACGGTGTAACTGCCCAGCCCAGTGGGCTTGAGGTGAACGGGCCAAGATCA